TATTATTTTACTAAAATATAACTATATAATAATATGTATTATATATATACATATATAAAGTCATATATATATGACACTAAAATTGCCAGAAGAATTTTGAAAAAGAACCAAGTTGGAGGAGGATTTCCACTATCTGATTTCAAGACTTACTTTTCCTGGTAAAAGGGATTAAAGACTAGCATAAACCCAGTGGAAGTTTAGTGACTCTGCATACAGCAAAAACATTAATTGGGAAACAAAATATAAAATTCCTATTTATTCATACTATACTATAAGGAATTGTATAAACAATGAGTCAACTTGATAACTTACATCGGACAACCCACACTATCAATAAGACAGTGTAGCAACAACATGTAAGTTTAGAATACTCCAACTAAGCTAGAATTCAGCAGACCATGAAAAGAGAATGAAGGGGTTAAAGAAATAGCAGCAGGCTTTAGAGTTAGTTTCAGAAGACAATCTGACTCATGAATAAGCACATTTGGTGAAGCGGTGAGAATCAACTTGAAGTGCACATATAGAAAAATGAATCGACCATCACTCCAGAAGAAGAGTATGGAGGTAGACATACCCCTTAGGGACATGTTAAGATCACATGATTTTACATTTACCCCTGGGATTCTGGAATATTACTTCACTCCTCCTGTTGTTCAAGTTGAGAAACATGGGCATCATCATCCCTGAGACTTCCCTCTCATCATTCCCCAAGACAAAGCATTACCAAACTTTTATCCAGCCTATCTCAACAATTCATCTTAAAATCATCTTCCTCTCTCCATCACCAACAAATCCACTGGTCCCAGCCACCATCATCTCTTACCTGGATCAAAGTGTCTCCTTTCTCCATCTCTCCTTCTCCTCTAAACCCTCCAATCCATTCTCCACACAACAGCTAAAGAGATCTTCATAAATGTAAATGGGGTCACATCACTTCCCAGTTACACCTCTAATGCCTTCTCATGACACTTGAAGTACAGGATTGTTAGCCTGGCCTCAAAGCCCTAAGTGATCTGACATGTGCCTGCCTTCCCTGATATGGGGTCTAGGAGACTTGAGGTTTCCTCGTCTTGTCCACCAGTCTATCCCAGTAGCTAGGACTATGTGGCACATCATACATGCTCATGCTAGTTCCTTTAACTAAGAGCCAAAAAGTGTCAGCACTTGTTTCTTGAAGGGGGTTGTCTTGCTTGGAAGTCAGAGCCCTTTCCTGACCAAAGCATGGGATATGTTCATTTATAAGAGGTATGCTTTGGGGGCACCTGGGTGGCTCAGTCAGTTAAGTGTCTACCTTCGGCTCAGGTCCCAATCTCAGGGTCCTGAGATCGAGCCCTGCATCGGGCTCCCTGCTCAATGTGACTCTGCTTAAGTTTCTCTCTCCCTCTCCCTCTGCCCCTCATCCCATGTGCTCTCTCTCTCTCTCTGTCTCTAAAATAAATAAATCTTTAAAAAAACAGGTACGCTTTCCCATTGTGAGCAACAAGACGAGGAAAGACAGAGGACACTGTACCATACAGATTAGTATATGAGCAAAGGTGGGGGTGCAAACACAGAAAGAAGTGGCATGGGGAAGGAAAATGTACCAAAAAAACCCCACAAAAACCATTAAGAGCAGGGGGGAGAAAAAGACAGAAAGGTAGAAATAACTGAGCATATAAGAAGTAGCAGACAGGGCCAGCAGGATCAGAAGAGGAATTTTGAAGCGGTCTTTTGATACAGTTTGCAAAGGAGTCTGTGGGGCCTCGGCAACACGCATAGCAGCAGAGACGTTGGGCTGCTGGAGGGACCGTGTGCTGCTGGAGGGACAGAAAGACTGGGCCGAGCCATCACAGGGCAATCGCACATCAGGACAAGAGAAAGACAAAGCGAAATGCAGAACGGGACTCCTCTGGCTAGTAGGCTATTGACCAGTTCTTGTGTGGAGAGAAATTAATCATTTAAACAAGACTCATTTGCATAAACTGACCTGTAGACGGGGTAGGCTAAGCTGTTGGTCATTAGCTGTGACTATGTCAAGCTCTGACTTTTGTGGATGGGGAGTAACAAATTCTTTACAGTTAATTCCTTCATGCCGCTAATCCCAGTTCGAAAACCTAGTCAGCTTTTTGTTGTGTCTGATGGTGTCGGCATTAGCTACCCTTGTGGCAGAGTCCCATGCACTGGGATGGAGGATGGCTCTGGGGGGCAAGCCCTGAAGCCCCAAAATTGCTGGTAAGGAGCCGGGTTCACCTCTTCCCTGACCTTGTCCTGTGTCGTTGTGCCATGGTACCTGACCCGCACGCTGCACCCCCACACGGGCCTGGGAAGGTTTTGTCTCCTCTTGGCTCAATGGCCATCTCTTCAATTCTCCTCTGTGTCTTCACGCACGTTCTGCTGTTCTGGTACACGCATGTGCACACACACACTCCCACACCCCTCTGACTCGTTCTCTCTCCTTATTCTCCATCTGGGTTTCTCTCTGGGCTCTCTCTGTTCCCTTTGTTTTTTAACTGGGGCTCTACAGATAATTCTTGGTTCAGAAAAATGAACCGTCACTCAGGTACCATCAGAAAGCCAGGAAGCAGACCCTGGTTTCTCTACCTGTTCCCTTCCAGCTCGCACACGTAGGTCACCACTGGGGACCAGTCAAAGGCCCCTGGTTGCTTCTTCAGCCACTTTTGCAGCTCCTGCAGGTTCTGGTCAGTGTAATCGGTGGCAATGATCTCCTTGAAGGATTCACAAGCAGAGAGAAGCTGGTAGATGGTGGGGCCAGAGCCAATGTCAATGAGGAGGTCCCCCTTCACGCCATCTGGTTTAGAGGAGGCAACAAGGAAAGGGGATCAGGCATCATATGACGGTAGCCAGAGCTGATATGCACGATCTTCGCTGGAACTGTGCGAGAGAGCTCCCAAAACAGACCATCTCTCTACTCACTCCTCATCCCTCAAAATCTTTTTTTAACATCTTTGCATTTTCCATTCCCCAATCCTGGCTGGAGGCATGCTGCTGGGATATTTTTAGGTGTAGGAGAAGGAAGAAAAGATCTACATCTGGTGTCCAGACCCCTGATCCAGAAAGACTGCTATACAGAAAATGTAAAAACTATTAAGGAATACTTCTGGGGAAAGTTAAATTTGTTTTTAAAATTTTTTAAATTGTCTCTCTCCAAAAAGCATCCAATTCTTCATATGTTGGAAGGTCTTCTTATTTCATGCACATTCACAACATTCTTTTGAGTTAGAAACACAGTAAGTACAAGAATCTTCACTTCTTAAGTGGCCCATCATGGTTAAATGGCTGGCTCTGGTCATCTAACAAATTGATGTGAAATCAAGGACAGAACTCCTGCCTTCTCGTTTCCCTTTGCACACCCAAATGAGATCATGCATATAAAAACACTTTGTAAATTGTAAAATAGCCATACCAAAAAAACAATGGTTTTCATTCTCTTTAAATAAATGAGTAACCCCAAAAGGACTGTCACTTAGCAATGACTACACACGAACCCAGCCATGCCCTGAGACTCCATCTGTATGTTTCACATTTTGCTGGGGAGACACACAGATAACACACGAACTCACCCAGGCAGAATATCTTGAAAAGATTTTTCAGAAGATGCCTGAGAATCTCATTTTCTGCAGAGTGTCTGGACCCAAAGTTGTAATATTTTTCTAGGTAATCCCGAGGGTTAAAATGTCTCAGGTAAGTGTCCTTGGAGGTGAATCTGGGTTCCATCGTGGTTCGCTCCTGTGTCCACTACCCTCCCTCCCTCTCCTCCAGAACCCAGGGAGTCACCCTGCAAAAGTTGTCTTTTTAAGTCTCAGGCTTCAATCTTCTGTTAGTTCAACACACCCCTTAGAGACCGACATTTCGTTAAACACTAACAGAAATACACCAAGAATGTTTTGGCTGCTCTAGGAGGTGATGAAACTTTTGGGCAAGGGTGCCTAGGAAATGTGTGTGCAGAAAGGGGAGGGCCATGAGCTGCATGCAATTCTCAGCCAAGGGGTGAAGTTCAAGTGCTGGAGGAATCATCTGAGCTCGTCCGGGAAATCATTTAACTCATAGAACCACTAAGTTTAGAGAGGTGGGTCATTTCCCCAGAGCACCATCATTCTTCCTGTAATGATTCACCCAAAAGAGACCCACAAAGAATGGTTTAAATTTTTAACAGTCATAAAGAAAGAGGGGAAAGAAGAGGATTAGGAAATGTCCTTAGGGCTAAGGAACATTGGCTAAAGAAGGAATCGCAGATGAGAGGGTAAAGGAGCAATTTTAAAAACCTGGATGAGGCTTCCTCCAATGTCTGGGCAGGCCACATTCCTGTAACCCTCTCCTCGTGCTCTGCACGCCCTTCACTCCCCTTCCTGTGCATCCGCAGCTCCCCAGTAGCTGCCAGTCCTCCCCATTTGGCAACCATCTCTTCCCCAAGCCTCCCCACTCATTTCAATCCATTCAAATCCTGACGGTCCTTTCAAGATGAAATTTAAGTGCTTTACTTCCCTTAAGAAATCCTTATATTCTGGGGCGCCTGGGTGGCTCAGTTGGTTGAGCGACTGCCTTTGGCTCAGGTCATGATCCTGGAGTCCCAGAATCGAGTCCTGCATCGGGCTCCCTGCTCAGCGGGGAGTCTGCTTCTCCCTCTGACCCTCCCCCCTCTCATGCTCTCTCTCTCTCTCAAATAAATAAATAAAATCTTTTAAAAAAAGAAAAACTTAAAAAAAAAAAAAGAAATCCTTATATTCCCTTGTCTGGACTCACAATGCCCTTAGAATTAGCTCACCCAGCTGAACCCTTGATTTTGTCATGTCATGCATTTGTTCCTGGTTTTGTCTGTGTCAATCTTACTTCCCAAACCTAGCTTTCATGTGAATGATACACAAAACCATCTTTACATCAAAGACTATGGCTCAGCCCCCTGCCTATCACACCTACCTAGGAGGTGTTCTAAACACTGGTTGATTAGATGACTATTGTCATATTTCAGCAAACGCAATCATAGTTGAGTACCCTATATGCCATGGGTAATAACTTAGCAAGGGCCCATCTGGCTACAAACCAGAGAAACTCACTCAAAGATGTTCAAGTGAAAAAGGAATTATTAATTGGAGAATATAGTGGAAACACACTGCAGGGTATCTAAACTGGGTCTCAGGAACCAGAAATTCATTAGGCAACTAATTTCTCTCTCTCTCTCTCTCTCTCTTTCTCTTCTTCCTTTTCTCTTTCTTTTTGTCTCTCTTTGGAGGGCTAGGGGCCTTGATTCTCTGCAAACTGGCTTCTCTTACTCATCCACTATACGTGGCTCCATTCAGAACATTCCCAATGCCGGTCTCTGCACCTGACCTTACAGAATCTTCTAACCTATCTCCTCACAGCTGGCCAGGTGGGTCTGCATGGTCTGAATCCAGTTCCTTAGAGAGAGAATCTGCCTGGTCCAGTCTGGGTCATTGACACTTCCCAGTAAATGTTGGGGTAGTAAAAGAGATCTGTTGTGGTAGTGAGACTGCCCATCATAGGGTCTTAGATGGAACAGACAAATCATCTCAGATTACTGCAACAGTTGGACCTTCAAAAGTCAAGTCACAGACGGGAAGGATGTAGAATCAATACAAGGTGTCATTGTGAGTGCCTCAGGGGCACCATGGCTGATATACCCTGCTTCTCCCAACTAGTGGGTAGTGGAGTACCTCCAGCAGGAAGCATCCAGACCTCAAAATCAAAAGATACAAATTGCCATCCTGAATTGCCACCAACAATTCGTATGACAATGGCTGTTAGAAAAACTAACTTTTGAGATCTAAAAGCCTCAGTTTTGGCGCATAAAATTGGGATGATAATAATATAGAAGAGGAAAAAAATTCTCCTTTCCCATCTTTGGGTCTCTGGCTGGATCCAAGAATTAAACTGACATGAGACAGATTAATAGGAGAAATGCGTGTGAATTTTATTAATATTTTACATGTACATGGGAGGCTTCACAAGAGAATGAAGACCTCAAGAAGTGACCAGAACAGGGGTGCCTGGGTGGTTCAGATGGTTAAGCATCTGCCTTCAGCTCAGGTCATGATCCCTGGTATTGAGCCCCTCGTCTGGCTCCCTGCTCAGTGGGGAGCCTACTTCTCCCTCTGCCTCTCTCTCTGCCGTTCCCTCTGCTTGTGCTCTCTGACTTTATGTCTCTGTCAAATAAATAAATAAAATCTTTTTTTAAAAAAAGTGACCAGAGCAGGAAGCCTTTATACCCCTAGACAAGGAAACAATCAATCTGTGAAGAATTGACAAGACAGAAGGGTTTGGCCTAAGGGTAGTAAATGATAAATAAGTAACTAAGAGGGTAAGGATTGTTTTAATAGGGTTCATGTGTACAGATTTCTTAGCACCAAATTCCCTGTCTCTGGCAATAAGAATGTCTTCCTTCCTCCAGGAACAAGGAGGGTACCTTTCATATGGGACTTTTATCTCCTGCTTTCCGGAAGAAAAAGGAGGATCAGAGTGTCCTTCTTGGGCCTACTGGTTTTCTAAATGCCTTTAATTCAAAATAATCAAATGCCAAAGTGACATATGTTAGGTGATGTAATTTGGTTTTCTTTACTAGTATCTGTTCTGTTCAATGTTCTCTGTTCAAGGTATTGAGAAATTTAAATCATAGTTTCCCTTACATTGAATCCTTACCTTGGGAAACATACCCTCTTCCCACTCATGGGTCAGTTTAACAGGGGACTTTGAAAATAGTGGTTATGTAGCTTATATGTGGCTTTGATACTATAGTATCCCTTGCCCCCTCATCCCGTAATTAATTTTTTCATACCCTTTTCAGAAGCTGCCAAGATTTATGGTCAGAATCAGATTTCACTGTAGATTGAAATCTGCTCCCCATGTTGGCCCTCTATCCACTGCACATGAATGTCTGCTATAATTATGAATGCATGAATATACAAATATACATGTGATGAAAATACACTTCCAAAACCAACAGCCTCTGGAAGTTTTTCTGGAAAGAAAAGCTTTTTTTTTCCTTTTTTAAGGTTAACATAAACCCTATGAAAACAAACTATTTAGTCATATAAAACAAAGACCAGATTTTTAAATCAGATCCTGAACAGTTCAAACAAAAATTTAAATGCGTGGTTTATTTCATCATCCCAAACTGCATTTTCCCTTTTCCTTTCTCAATGGTCCACTGTGGAATTTTTCTCAGAAGCAATTAACCGAAAACCCTCAAATCCTTTTCCTAGCAATTGCAGCTAAAAAAACAGAACTTCACATCCCAAGCCTAAGAAAGATGTGTATACGAAATGCTTCTTGCTTTATCCTTATTATTTGGAGTCCCTGGAAGTCTTATTTTCCTTTTGAACATGAATTCAGGAACAATTGAATATCCTGGTGGTGAACATGAGAGCAGTCCTTGAGCAGAGCTGCAACGGTGTCCTCATGGACATTGAAGGGCACATCAGCTTTTCCAGTGGCCTTCCTACTGGAACTCTACTCCATGGTGATTCCAACAGGCTGCAGTGAGCAAAACACTTGATAATGTCTTGGGCATTGGCTTGGAAAGGCAATCTTCTCGTGTGGACAAAATGGAATGAAGACATAGTTCCAAAAGCAATAGCCTCTGGAAGGAGCAAAGAGCAAGAAGGAAGTAAGAAGGGAGGAGGAGAGGCAGGGAGAGTGAAAGGGAGGGAAGGAGGGAGAAATGGAAGAAGTCAAGAAAGCACGCCACTCCCATACAGCTGGAAGAGTGGACCACTGGTAGTTCTTCTTCCCATGTGGTCAGCTCATAATGTATTTGCTTTGTTACCTTAGGTCACAACCTCATGAGAAAATAGCTCTACAATACTAGTGCGCAAAAGATCAAGGTCTGAGATGCAAGAAAGAATGAAGAACAAGTAAGGACCCTAACTTGTGGGTAATTCTAATAGATGTATAAAAAAATAATGTCATAGGGCTCCTGGGTGTCTCAGTCGGTTAAGGGTCTGACTCCTGATTTTAGCTCAGGTCATGACCTCAGAGTTGTAAGATTGAGCCCTACGTCAGGCTCCATGCTCAGCATGGAGTCTGCTGGAGATTCTGTCTCTCCCTCAGCCCCTCCCCCCACTCATGCTCTTTCTCTATCTCTCTCTAAATAATTAAATAAAACCTTTTTAAAAATTTTAAAAAGTGATGTCATATGTGGTTAAAAATAAGATGGAATTAAAAGGCACAATAGCAACAGCCTATAAATTTCAGGGGAGTGTAGATACATGGGGTTGAAGTGTTCTAGATCTTTGTATTATCCAGGAAGGGTAAAAGTATTGATTATCTTTAGACTAATAATTTAACAATGCATATTGTCATTCCAAACAGATGATGGTATACTCCCCATACTTCCTTGGCACTGGCCATGCCCGTTCAACATTTTTCTACTGCAAGGACCTGAGCCTGAGGGTTTTGTCTGGTTGTAGGAGTATGTTTGGCCCCTACACAGAGCAAGTCAGAAAAGCTGGGGAGTTAATGCAGTAGTTCTCAGGCCCTCACCCAGTGAGAGATGAGAGATGCTGAATAATTATGCCAGCTTCCTCGCTCCTAGAATAGAAATGCCATAACATGTTCTCTGCACTCTCACAGAGGTCCCAGCAGGAGTGAGTCCCAGCTGCCCACAGCAGTAACTGGTTCATGAGTGGAGCCTGATTGGCCTCCTTTCTTTCTGTCACTTTCCCACATCCTCACCAGTGCCTCGTGGGATCCAAAGTAAAATACCTATACTCCAATTTTAGGCACCACAAAAATAACTCAATCAAATTAGTAGAGTAGAGGAAATGGGATGACCAAAAAAGAAAAAAATC